CAGCGAGCCGCGGCTGCTTGACGACGTTCTCGGAGACCACCGGGTACTCTCGACCCGCCTCCGTCTTCGACAAGGACACCACACACCACCGCGGCTTTGCCCCACCGTCTGTGGCCTCCGCCAGACGTCACCAGGGAGCAGTGGCGCAGTGAGCTTGCTACTGCTGCTAAGGAGTTTCGTGTCACATTCCGGGAGGACATCGATGAACATTGGACAGAGTTCTGTTCGCAAGTGGAACAGCTGCTCTTGCGAGCCCGGGCCTGCTGGACACCGCCACCTCGCCACCAGGGGCACAGACCAAAGGGATCTATCCCTTACGCGATTGCGGGTGAGTGCCATAAGCCATCACTCAAGACCTACAGAGCTAGGCGTCTTGGGAAATTCTTGGGCAGAGTTCGGCAAGCCGTCAGTCTTGTCAAACAGGGCAAGCTCTCGGAGGCTCAGGCGGACAAGTGGTGGACCAGGCGACCGCAAGGGTTCTCTTGGAAAGGTAGTTGGCAGGAGCTCGCTGTTGACGTGGAAGAGGCTCTTGTTTCAGAGCAGCGCAGTCAGCGCCGCTACAACCTCAATCGTTGGAAGCACTCGATGCGACAGAGAGGCAAGGCCGCCACGCGATGGTTGTCTCAGACCACGGGTATGCCACCGTCCGTGTCCAGAGCGGATGGTACTCTTACTCGTACTTATGAGGACGCTGTCAGTGTCATCAGTGTCATTACGGAGTTCTGGCGCGCTTACTGGACAAGGCCCGAAGTTCCCAACATGGAGGAGGTCGCCCGTGACTGGGCTCAAGCTCTTGGGCGGGACACTCATCCTTTACAGTGGGAGGACGTCACGGCGGCTGAGCTGCAGACCGCTGCCCGGCAGCTTTGTGGTTCAGGCGGAGGACCAGACGGCTTTCGTGGTGATGAAGTTGCGCACCTCCCTGTTGAAGTTTGGCAGGCAATGGCTGAGCAAGTGCAGCGTTGGCTTCTGCAAGGTAGGGTTCCTCACATCCTGAAGCACCTCAGGCAAGTCCAAGTGCCCAAGGATGGAGTGGTGGATGGCAGCGTGACAGACCCGGCAAATCTCCGCCCCATTAGTGTGATGTCATGCTTTTGGAGGGTCCTCACGTCCGCTCTTGCGGCGCGCACTGGCACGCGAGCATGGTTGCGAGACTTAGTTCCGGCACACACGTACGGAGCCGTTGAAGGCAAACAGGCCCTCACGGCAGCCATCACGCTTGAGCAGTTTTGGCGAGCTCATTCAGGCATTCTCGCCTCCCTCGACTACGAAAAGTGCTTTGATACCGCAAGCCCAACACTTTGTCTTCGCATCATGGTTGAGGCTGGTTTTCCTTCTTACTGGGCCGGGCTCATCCTGCAGGTTTGGGGTGACCAGCATCGCTGGGTTGAGTATGGCGGCGCAGTCGCTTCGATGCCTGAGCGCGTCGCAAGAAGCTTGGTACAGGGTGATGCTCTTTCATGCTTAGCTCTCGTGGTGCTTCTCGCGGGGCCGTTCACTAGTGTGCAGCGTTCCTGCGGCCAAGACCTCTGCATGACTTCTTTTGTGGATGACAGGGCAGGGACAGCTGCTGTACCGGAAGTGATCCTCTCCATGATACGTGGCTGGCGTGATGGTCGGGTAAGCTTGGGTTGATGGAAAATGCTGCCAAACTCAGGTTGGTATGCCATACTGAGGAGCAGGAGTGCAGGCTACGTCTTGCAGGCATACCCGAGGACTGCATCAAACCGCGTTGCAGAGTCTTAGGCGTTGACTTTACTAAGGACTGGCAGGACCAAGTACGTCCCACCGCTCAGGCTAGGGAGCAAGCTGCTCTCCAGAAAGCTGCGAGGATTCGCAGCCTCCCTCTGGAGACCACGCTACGGCGAGACCTGTGGCGCACCCGCATTGTGCCTAAGGTGGCGTGGGGCCACGGCTTGCGCCTACCGAGAGCTAAGGAATCCAGAGCGATGCATTGGGCGTACCGGCTGTGCACGCGACGCCAGAATATGGCATCGCCTCACCTTGCGGAGATGTTGGAAGGGCACGACTCAGACCCTATCTTCTGTACGGGCGTCAAGGCCACCAAAGCACTGTTTAGCGCGTTGCAGCAGGTCCCGCTTCCATGGGGTCCTCTTAGAGTTGGTGGCACCTGGCAAGCTGAGGTACGTAGATGGCTCAATGGGCTAGGGTGGCGCGAAACCAGGCCGTGGACCTGGCGACACGCCAATCTAGGAGAGATGTGTTGGGATCCTCGTAGAGTGTTCGGCTGGGATCATGTGCTGAGGGAGTCGTGGAGGCGACACAAGTTCAGCCTTTTCCTGCAACAAAAGCGACGTGACGCCACGGCGCTGCGAGGGAGGGCTGTGTACGATGAGCGGTCATGCCGCATCACTCGTGAGTTGTACCGCAAAGGCGATGTGCATGCTCGTGCTGTCCTTTTAGGGCCCGCTAACAGTCCCGCTGTCTATAAGGCCATGGCCGATGAGAATTTGCCTCAGGAGTGTAAGTGGTGCGGCAGGAGAGTCATTCCCGAATGGCAACACATAGCTTGGGATTGCGAGTCTACTGCACAAACCAGGCCGCGGACGCCAACTAACCCGCTTCAGCTTCGGCTGGGTTGGGCTACGCATACGGACACAGAGGACTCTGCTCGCAGAGTGCTTCTGGATTTGGCTAAGGTACGCGCACGCGCGCTTCACTCTTGGTAGGGTTTCCTTTTTGCGGTTGGGCTTCGGGTTCGTTGATTGGTTTCGGCTGCCTTCTCTTGGCTTGGGGTGGTTAGGCTAGCTCCCGCAGGACGCATATCTGGACAGGACCTTAGGCATGGTTGTTCTACCAGGACGCTCTTGCCTCTACAATGACGAACTGCAGCTTGTGCTTGAATACCTCCTACCGTGTGGTATGATTCGTCTCTCGCCGGTGTATACCACGGCGCGTCCAAAACGAGCAGGAATGCTCCCGCATCTCCCAAGAGTCTCCCAAGCATACCAGGCCATGAGCAGCAGTCCGGACGACAGGTTCGAACAATTTCGAACATGTTTCTGGTTTTGTAAACCGATGCGGGTGGAATCCTGCCCCGGAGGATTGTCAAGACTTGCCCATTCGGATCGCAAGATCTTCCTCAGCTTCCCGACCAGAAATCACGGTACGCCCCATCAGTAACTTGGTGCATGCCTGCACAAGGTTCTCAGGGACGAAATCCTTGTGCCTCGCGCCGGCGTTTGACAGCTCCTGGGACTCAATGAAATCGATTCAGTGACAGTTTAAGCTTGATGACGGCAGCCACTAGCGGTGTCGCAGGCCTGGAAGGTGTCCTTGGCGAGCACAGCTATTCGGCTGCACTCCGTTTGCTTCTTAAGCACTGTGCACCTGAAGGAGGGTCGAGCGCAACGATGCGGCGAGGTCTGATGGCTCGGGGTGCAGGGCTTCCTGCTCACTGGCACATCTGAAACAAACCACGGCTTTCTAACCCATCCCGCGCGCTACAATTTTCTACCTCGTGGATGCCTGTGCGGCTCCTAGGGTGAAGAGGCCGATCAGGAGCTGAGCAGGGCCAGAAGGTACAAAACCATTCGCATACGTCGAACTTCTGATGCTGCTGTCCGGCAAATTTCTTGTAACGCATGGCCTTCATTAGCCAAAGGCAAAGGGGAGCTGCACTGCTGTGCGGGTATCAGTACATCCCGCTTCAGGAGCCCAAGGACCAGGGCGTTCAAGGAACTGTGAAGCCGCGGCCCCTCAATTCACGCAACCTGCTCACCGACCGGCTTCTCACAGTGGCCATCTTTCCTCACTGTCTCAGCCCTCGCCGCTAAGTGTCATGTCGGAAGCGCGCCCCACTGCTTTGGTGTCGACCCGGTGAGACTGAGGCTGCGAGACATCTGAAGCAATTTGGCAAGACAGGCACAAACAAGTATACAACTAACACATGTATGAAGGCAGGTATGTCTGTATGTCTGCATGCGGTGCTTGTATGACTGTATGACTTATGCACGTATAAGATAATTACAGCTGATACTACCGAGTTGAACCGTTATACAATTGCATTGTGCTGCTACGGCCCTCCAAGTGAAACGGAGAGTGAAACCAAACCGTCACTTTTCAGATACTGTTCAGAAATTATTCATTCAACTCACACCTAGTGCAGCTAGCGCAGCACTCCTCGCATTTTCGAAAAATGCAGAGGCAGAAGCACTCCAGCAGGTCACGAGGGAGTGTGTTTTGCAGCGAGACCCTGCTATTTTGGTCCTGCAGCTGACTGGCTCTGAGTGCTGCCCGATCCCCGGCGTGCTGCGGCCGAGCCAGGTGCTCCGAAGAGCCCTGCACGAGTGTTCAAAAATTCTCCGGCAGGGCAACGCAGGGCTGCAACATGGAGAGCCTTCGGAACGTGCTGCCGCGTCCTTGCTGGTCAGTGGCCCTGCCGACAGGGCCAAAGGGCTCAGCCCCAAGGCAAGGATGCCTGGCCCGCTGTCATCCTGAGGCAAAGAAGCCCGCGCTGTCGGCTGCACTCTGTTTGTCCCAACCTGTGCCGAGGTGAGCCGGCGAGTGGACTGCAGCGGACGCGTCAGCAGCATCGGGTCCTTCAGCGGAGTAAGCACATAAGCACATGTAAGCAAGCTTTTGCAAGAGGTCGCAAGAGCTTGCACCTCCTCCTCGACAGGAGTACGGCGTCCTGTGCAGAATACAAAGTGGGAGTTGGAGCGGCTCAAACTGGCTCAAGAATTCTAGGGAATACCCGCAAGCCTGGCTGGCGCATCTGGGACCTCAGCTGGTGAGGTTTTAACAAAGGACAGTAAGCAAGTCAAGGAAACGAAGCCACTACTTCAAACAGCCCGTATCAAAGTGGGCCCTCGACGGACGCAAAGGCCGCTCGCGCTCTGTAGCAGCCCTTATACAGCGGGATGAAAAACACAGACGCATGTGAAGAAAGTCATCACTGAGCTGATGCCGTGCACAGGACTTTCCTGCACCTACGATTGAACCTTGCCATAACCTTGCTTCTTCATCGAGGTCTTTCATCATGATCGCTCTGCGACTGCCTTGCAGAACTCTGTCCCCAGGGATGTGGCACAAAGGTGTCCGATTGATTTGTTGGCAATCGCTGCTGTTCACGGTGCAAGCAGCAGCACCCTAGGAACCTGGAACATCCTTCAAGAAACCCGTTCGGCTACGAACTACTGTGCATCCTCCGACAAGTTCACACGCCTCCTTCTTAAGGTCCTTCTTACATCCCACCATGAAAGTTTACAGGCAGTTCGTCCAAACCAGGAGAGAACCCAAAAACTATCATAAGAGTTCGTTAACTTCGATGACTCAGTCAGACACCGTCCCCTCATCTTGTCCTGGCAGCAGCAGCAGCAGATGGATAAACACTTGAGGGCCGGAGGCATGGATAACGAAAGCTCGGCGGCGGTTTTTTATGAAGTTGCCAGTAGATGTCGGCCAGGCAGGTCAGCGGGGTTTTACCGCGGGAGTACAGTAGTAGTGGTTGTCGTAGACGTCGTAGCAGTACTAGCAGTTGTGGCAGTACTAGCATCAGCGTCAGCAGAAGCAGCAGCAGCAGGAGTTGTAGCAGTCGTGGTAGTAGCAGCAGCAGCAGAGGCAGCAGCAGTAGTAGTAGTAGTAGTGGTAGTAGTAGTAGTAGCAGTAGTTTTTTTAGCAGTAGTAGCAGTAGTAGTAGTAGTAGTAGTAGTAGTGGTGGTGGTGGTGGTGGTGGTAGTAGTAGTAGTGTT